GGCTATTCCTTGTATTACTACTGTTATTATAGATTTTAAACTTATGAAACCAGGACTCTAACAAGGGCGATGGAGCCTGTTAGCTGATTGATTTTTAATTCGTGAAACGCAGTGAGTTACAAACTACACCCTAATAACATCCCTACATTTGAATCAATAAAACTTACGGAAAAAAGGTCACAAAAGCTTGCGAGATCTTTGAGGGAGGTAATACTTCTCTCGTATCGACTTAAAAGACAGGTAAAATATTAATGCACATTTCGGTTGAGTGTTGTCGAACCACTGAAACCAAAGTAATCACAACTACTAATCGGAAGAAAAGAAAAATTCCTTTAAAAGCCAATGAGAACTCAAAATGAAAACAAGATGCAAAATGCCTAAACCGCGGGAAAACACCTGCGACCCCGTCGTCATTAGTTTTAAATTCACATCTGATTGGTTGAGAGAGAGTCACCAGTCTTTTTGGACCAATCAGAGAGCGAATTGAAGCAAAAACAAAGCAACGCCAGATTACTTTCAATACTCAATTGAAAATTTTGCATTTTAGATTCTTTACACATAATACTTTGTCATCGTGTCCTATGATACTAGCATTTGCATTAAGTCTTCTGTAAAAGCTGATATTTACAAATGTGCTGTTCCCTTGTTATTTGGATTGTAGGGAAATCAAAGTATGACAAACGGGCAATTAATCACGTAGTAACATCTTTTGATTTTGTAATTTTCAACTTGCCTGTGCGTATTATAACGTAATTTATTTACGCTTACCAGAGCTGACAACATTTGATGAATCCAACACTAACCATAATATAAATCTATATCAATACGAAAAATATTATCATTTGAGTTCATGCTACATTATCAGGACTGATCAAATAAAAATTGCGTTTAATTTTGTATGTTATTTTAAATACTACACTGTTGTTAATCTGAGGACATTGGATACGGCTTATCTTACCAAATCACTCCCATGCAAAATGTAAAGCGATGCAATGCTGCTAGTGGAATACACCGACAACAAAAAAAGGATCGAATTAATATACTGACAAACTCAATACTAATTCTGTCTGAGGTTAACCCTTTTCAAGAGATCTCTACCCTCACGACTCCTCACATATGAGGTTCACTGAGTTTTATTTTTTTTGAAAGAGTCTTTATCATCTTTAATGAGAGACGGAAAATAATCCTGTGAATGGAAAAAAGGGCAAGGCAAATATGAGACACAGCGGGACCCATATTTAGCGGACGCCCTGTGTCAAAAAGCGGGTATGAAATTGATATCAACATAATCCGATCGTAATGTGCCGATAGGAGGAAAAATCAGGTACGATACACATAAAAGGTACTTTATGTGAACAATATTTGAAGTGTCGATGTTGTCCCTTCACAGTTTGCTATAACGGGTGGGTGGACGAATAATCACCAAAAGAAAGCCCTTTTGTGAAAAAAAAAAAAAAATCTGTACGTCATATGGTTTTCTATAAATGTTAATCTTTTTTTGAGAAACTGTCAAGTTCAAATAGTGATAGTTGCGTTGTAACACCAGCAGAACATCAAAGAGGCAGGTTGGAGCACATTCTACAAGCGAAACACACCCTCCGTTGCAAACCGCAACTGAATAAATTTGCTTTTGGTAACACACCGAAACAGAACTTGAACGAAAAGATGTAAGATCGCAGAAGCTATTCGAAAACAATAAGCACTTTCTATATTAGATTAGGCACTGAAACGGGAGACGGGCGAATTACGTAAATAAATCATGTGTCAGGTATGAAATTTGACCACATTCGTCAACAGTCAATAAAATTTACATTAAGTTGGACACGTTGGTAGGATCCGGAATAATAAACGCTTAGCAAATTAGGTTCGTGAAATCAAACTCAAAGAGTTAACAAAGATATTACACCTTATAAGCCGGTTACAAAATTCGCCAAAGTTGCGAAAAAACCCATGTTAGTCAAAAACGAAAATGGAACTGAGCATTGAGACCGAACAAACTTCTTTCTCCCCTCAAGATCCTAATTAACAAATGGTAAACACCACAGCGTACACTAATGAGTTATGGATGCACGCGAAAGGATTGTAAACAGGGAGAAAAAGAGAAACCTCTGGAGCCAGGGTAGCTGTAAGTATCATCTTGGCTTGGTCCAGTCGCTTGCGATATTACCGCACGTCATCGAGATTTGATCAGTTTGAAGTAAAGAGCGTTGACTCATTTTTAAAACGGGTTTTTAGATTTCCTGGTGTTTATTCTCCTAACTTTGACACATTTTACCACCTCGTAATTAGGCTCAATTCTTTGGTTCAAGGATGTGCTTTAATTTCACTTTAGATCATGAATAATTCTAAGCAAAGGTGTTCGCCTTGCACTGATTTGTTATTCGCCACGGTTCTTACTTTAACGTTTTATTGATGCTCTGTCACGTTTTATCTTTTGCTTAAGATTCTGAATTATTTATAATCTTATTTCAAATCGACCACAATTAAGTATTCAAACCTTCGAGAAGGGAAGATTTTCAAATTTGTATGAATAAAACCACCAATTTTAATTTGATAGCCTCGGGCAAAATTTGGTATGTCTGAGGTAAAATTTACGAAATAAGTTCACATTAGCTTTGTTATGTTTATGTTTTTTCTTTTCATTCGATTCTAAAACGTTGATCTTTGTATCCTTTTCGTTTAAATTTGCGTTGAATTTCACGTTGAAAATCGAAGTGACCGCGTTGTTTCCTTCAATTTTATTTGATATTCAACTTATGTCAATATCCACGAACCAATTCCCAAGGGGCTTGTGTAATCAGCACTTAAAATAAAGCTTTTAAAAACAGATGTTTGCAGCCTTCACCTTAACCAATAGCAAGACACACAAGAATGTAAGCGCTTTCAAATAAATCTGCAAAATGAGTTAAATTATGGTTGATTCAATAAATTTCTGTTGCCGATTTAGTCACATTATTAAGACATGGTTTGTGTCTGACTAGAAAATGAAGGCCAGATACTTTTCTCTCCCGCTGAAAACTTTCTCTCAAATACATTTTCCTTTCAGTTCCGCAAGCGTTTTCAAATCAGCCTCACAAATTATATTCACTTATCAATTTTAATTTGACAGTTTTAAATTGCTGTTGGTTCGGAACGTTTCACAGGCCGCAATGTATATACATAATGAGTCAACGTGTTGTCTCAGGGATTAAAATTTTCGTCGCGAGCTGTCAAAGTCAGATTTTACCAACAATCAATAGAGACTAACAAGCAACGTAAATTTCCAGCCTTGGCGTCCTTTTACTTACTGATGGCTTTCTCTTGCAAATTTATGCCGGTGGTGAGTCAAAACATCCTTGCTATTATTGAAGACTAATCTAATGTAACGTGCTCTTCGAGTGAAAACGGTAGTTTCGATCCAGGAGAGAGAAAAAGAACTTTTATGGTGTTGTGCTAAGCCACACAACATGCAAATAATGACATTCATGGACAGGAAGATGAAACTCAGGTGTTACCGATTGGCTAAAAATTAAATGTACGGATAGAATTATTTTTCTTCGGCCAGTTTGTATCACAAATTGTAACTCGACCTGATCTGTTTGCAATTTGGAATTTTTTCCTAAAACGTTAACTGGATTGAAAACGAAAGCCGGATTCTTTATTTCAGCATGGACTTTAAAGGATTCGTGAGGCAAAATAGTTGTTTATTCTATTGGCATTGAATATCAAGTACAACATCAGATCGGAACAAGCATCTGATATTTAAACCTTTTCATACCTTCGGCTATGTTAGATGTATTTACTTAGAGGGTACGGAAACTAGGTTATCTAACGATTACCCATGAATTCACTCGTAGAGGGTGTTGTCAAAAAGTAAATTAAAATGAATTCTCCGGCATGTTGAGACGGGAACGGATGAGAGGAGTGTGAAAAACGAAAAGATAAAGTTGTGGTTTTCGCATAGGAGGCAGAATTTTTAGTTTGTAATTTCGTGCTGTATGCTTTTTGAGAAGATTTCTCGAATTTGTGTTAAGGAAACACTAGAGTACAGAGCATTCTCCAAGAGAGGAAATGCTTTACTTACTGAGGCGACGAAGTTCCCCTTTTAGCAAAAGATCTCACGCTGACAGGTGGACCTTCCATTAATGAATAATCGCACTAAATCTTCAATGAATGCCGTGGAACGAGGCTCAAAAGATTGCAGAACCTAAAAGGGTTGCCTTCCAACGTACACAATTTTCTTTAGTACCTTTGTCGCGGTTTAGTTATGGCTGAGCAGTCGTTGATAAGAGTTTATTTTTTTTTTAATAAAAAATCTCCGCGCATATTTTTGAGACTTAATTGTCCCTTTTCCAAACGAAAGCGTCCCCAAGTTGGGCGAGAGTCATGTGAATCAAGAGTGAATAACACGGAATCAAAGTATTAACAGATTACAGCAAAAGGTTGAACGGTCGGCAAAGAGATATTTTAATTATCGAAAAAAATTACAAAGACGTTTGTCACGGCTTAATGCCATATCGACGATAGCAGTGTTCAAGAAAATATCTTGATATTCTTTTGCAACGGCTTTATCTCGAGGAATATTTCTGTAAAAAAAAAACCTTTTCGAATTTTTTGGTTGCTTCCAACTCTTTCATCGTGATCAATTCCTAAAATTGATATTTAAGTTTTAGGATATTGCATGTTGGTAAAGAATGTCCGAAGTGAAAGAAACGTGACACATTTGACCTTTACCAAAAGAGGAAGACAGTGAGTATTATAAAATAACTGAGATAGTGTAAGCGCTATCATTGGTCAAAACATTTCGTTTAGTGCAGCGGTAAACCCCAAAAATGGAAGTTCATTTCATATAAGCAATTGACCGTACTTTCTACTTGATTTACTAACGTAATAAATCACTTGAGATGTGTGGAGAACACTCGAAAAGCTTATGAATCACAAGTCGGAGGCAGTCAATAGCCGGTAAATATCAAGTAAGACAATGAAATATTTGTATTCCTTCCCAGCAGTGTTTTGGCACCAATCGTGGCAGCAGAGAGAAATATGATTCCACGCAATGTTCGGTTAGCGGAGACGGCTTATCCCTGGCAATGGTTGGAGAACCGGCAAAGTTCATCCTACGAACTTCGGGTCCGGATCTTCTTTACTTAGAGCTCCAAATTACCCGAATCGTGAATAAAGGGAGTGAAACTTCGATTTACTTCTCAGAGCCAATTCCTGTCGAATACGAATGCTTGGGAGAAAATATTCACAGCGTGTGCTACTACCCAAAAGAAGTAGGAGAATACCACGTGGCTGTCACATGGAAGGGAAGTCACGTGACAGGAAGTCCATTTGCTGTCAAGGTCGTTAAAAAAGTGACTTTCCCGGATATGGATGACTTCAAAACAGAAGAACAAGATAACAAGGATGAGGTGTGGAAACTTAGAGACGACATCAAGTCATCAAGACGACAAAGGGATAATGGGGTTTAAGATGTGTGGTACGGGTTTAAATTTACTGGTTTACTGAAGTAAGGAGAGACAAATCCCTACTGTGGAGCAGGTTTAAGAGAATGAAAACAGTCAACATGTTATAGCTTTGAATCTGGTAGCAAGGAAAACGAAAAGAATCAGGATAAAAAGATGAAATTTGTTGTTTTCAGCTGTAGCCGGATTACAGAAACTCATTAGCATGGTCACGAAGTAGGCAATTTTATCATCTGGTTTCTCGGCAAGATAACTTATGAGAATACGTACAAAAAAATAGGGCATTAAATCATCGATATTTGTGCAGTTATGAATGAGTCTAGTTATCTGGGTCTGACCTTCCTTACTTTCACCCCCAGGCCTCTTGCTCACTTTCCTTGACTTCCTTTTCCCTCCCCACATATATCTATATCTATATCCGAAAAACAAAATTCAGAATTTGACTTAAGAGAGCTGAGTGATATTTATGGATTGCTGTTTTGCATCAAAGAAAACAAGGTGTTCAGAACATTTTTTGAAGGTAAAGTTCATTGCCAAGAAGGTTTGCTAGTAGAACAGCTTCAAAAATAAACTCCTTTTCAAAGTTCAGTCCTTTCTTGTTATTCGTTACTTATTGTTGACAGCTGCAGGAAAGATGTTTGGATTCAAAATGAAAAAGTGACGAGTTTTCAGACGTACCTTTTACAACAGGCGTACAGCTGCAAAGCTGGGCGGGAAGGGTTTTCTTGTAAGAAAAATATGCGACACATTAAAATTGTACCTTTCTCAGTACCTTGACGTAACATTTGCTTTTTTCACCTTAGTGTCAAGGTATTCCCCGGCGATACCGGCTACTGGAGTTCAGAATATTCAAACTTTTTTTATTCAGATTCAAAGTAATCGGCACTCTCCAAAAGATTGCTAGTTTCTCCTATTAAAAATGGACCATCCAAGCAAATGCAATGTTTTAACAGATGCTGGTTAATGATAGATATATTTAAAATCTGGATACTAGTCTAAACTGGTGTATTGAAACTGAAACTCGACGACCTTAAGTTCCAGTTCCCTCTGGATGAGAATGAAGCTTTTACTTTTTGCTGCCTTTTTGGCAGGGCCTGTGGGAAGGATTTACGGTAAGACTACACTACCTCGAGTTCTTTTCGAATTAGAAAAAAGAGAAGCCGTGGCGATAAAATAATCCCTGAGGCGACCACGCTGAGAGAATATCTTTTTCCGACAACATTCCTCTTCGATATGATTTAGCATTGATGTTTCATATTAATTACTAACCGTTTTACAGAATGTTTCTGGCAGAGTTATAGTCCTTGTGAACATTCACAGCTATGCTCAACTTCACGCAAACGTTATCTTATCCAAAAGACTCATTACCTTTTATACAGGATTTTACTGTAATTTCGATCGTAACCAATGTGGATTTGTGCAACGTCGAGATGACGAGTTCGATTGGACCAGGAAAAAGGGTGCAACATCCTCCGGGAGTACAGGTCCTTATTCGGACGTGAAAGGACGAGGTAGGTTTTTGTTAAGAAACGTAGTACAAACGCAATTACATTGAATTTTGTAGCCGAAAGATTTTATACACCTACCTAACAAAAGGGAGTACGAGTGTCGCTGAGGATTATTTCCTAAAGCCATGGGACAATAGCCGGCATATCGTTTATCTAGAGCTTAAAACTTGAGGTAGAGTTATTTCTTTTTATTTCTTTCGCGATGACTGAGTCTAATGGCCTATACCGATCACCAAATAAAAAAACACAAAATAGAGACTGTACTACTTGGAGATTTTAAGCATTTAATCTCAACACAGCAACCCAAACACCAAAAGACCACGAGGTCTTTCTCCCGCGCGACATAGGTACGCAATTCGTACGTAGCCCGAAAATAGGTACGCAACACGTGCGAACGTAAATTAAAATGGGTCAATGTGAATTTAGCCACAACGAGTCGCACTATTTGAAAGTGTCGCCATGAAACTTACAGAACTCCCAGGACCGATGAACTCTGGTTTCTGGTTAAATAGCAACCGTACCATATTCAAGTGCAAAAACATTTCCGATGTGCAGATTATTCCTTATTTGTTCGAGTGAGTATATTATCATTCTTTATGGTTTCACTTGTAGGTTACTACATGTACATTGAAGCATCGCGCAAAAGCAAGGATGATAACGCCAAGTTAGAGATTCTCCCCGGAATAGCTGCTGGAAAGACGTGCATCTCCTTTTTCTATCACATGCGTGGTGGCCAAATGGGAACACTACGGGTGCTGGTGGATGGAAAACAAGTTTTTGAGAAGAGCGGGCATCAAGGTTTCGACTGGCGTACAGCTCAGTTCACTGTTGAGAGAAGAGCTTCATCAGTAAATATATTTGCTTTCATAATTCAACCTGAAAATTACTGTACTTTGCAGCGGTTATGGTGCTAAGGTCTCAGGCTGTTTGTAAATGAGATTAAGACCAAAAAAAAAATGTTCCTCCTACCTAAACTGAGAAATTTGAAGCCGACCAGCGAGAAAGTATTTGAAACTGATGAAGAACTCGACCAGCAGGGCGTAAAAAAAAAATGGTATCCTACCCCAGTTTAAACAAAACTTTAATACCCTATATCAAACGCTAATTTGAAATGCTACTTTTAATTCGTTTTAACAGATTGTGTTTGAAGGAATTGTGGGACGAGGCCACCAGTCAGACATAGCGATTGATGAAGTGAAGATAGACAACTGTGGAGAGGGAGGCGGTGGCCAAGGTAAGTTCTTACTAATTTCATCTGTGCTTTGTTCCATTAAAACGGTCCTTCAATCCTACAATACATGTGCGCATGTCAGTAAAATGAGCAAAATTAAAGCTTATCTGAATTAATGTAAAGCCAGCCCTCAACATCATTCTGTTCTCCGTGCCTTCGACAAACCAACTGTTTGGAAAAGTGAGAGAAGAAAAGGAAACATAGCTAAATAAGCTTTGAAATTTAACCACAACATTCAAATTATCTTTGACTGAGCTATCAATGATCATTGCGTACTTTTAATACGGACACAGAAAAAAAGGTTTTTTTTTCCATAGAATTATGACTTATCTATGAACGATGTATTAATAAGCGTTGAGAAAGTTGACATTCTCCAAAAATACTTTACTATTTGGTAATTTTAAACTTCTATAGCAACAATAAAACCGCCAGCACCTCAACCACAAACAGCCCGACCACCGCTTCCACACACTGCGACCCCACCAACAAGTAAGTTCCGTTTTTATCATAAAAAACAGATTGAGCAAAACGCAAGGCTATGATAAATAACGAAGCAACAACACGCGGGATGGCTTCAGGAAGAGATCTGTTAATTTTAGGTGCGCGAGTTGACTTCTTGAAAGACACTTCTTGACGTAATCATCTTTGTGTTTGCGGGCCTCTTGTCATGTTCCCGCCTTTTTCAACGCCTCGTCGGGTAATTGCTATCTCCTTTTTTTCCTTTTTTTTTAAAAAAAAAAAAGCAATGATTTGGTGGATTGTTACTTCCTGGCAAATTTTTCCGTTATTCGCTTTTCTCTTTTTCTATTCTCTTAAAAATAAAGGCCCTTTATGGTGGCCCCGAACAGTATTTATTGATAACTGATAATTTCAAAACGGGAAGATGCCCAAACTCGTTGCAGAAGCGCAAATGTCAGAGAAATAATCGAAACTTGTAGCATCATTATTTCAATTTGGTATTTGAAACTATTTTTAGTCATCTCGAGGGTGGCTTTTATTCTCTTTAACACTCAGACAGCTTTATCTTTCAGGTGAGTGTGGCTTCCGTCCTTCCACCAGGATTGTTGGAGGTGAATATGCACCACCGGGGGCGTGGCCATGGCAAGCAATGCTGCGGTGGTCTCACACTGGGTATGTGTTCTGTGGTGGTTCCTTGGTTGCTCCTCAGTGGGTTGTCACAGCCAGTCACTGTGTTGCGAAGGCAGGTGGAGATCCCGTATATATCAGGTAACATATGAAATAAGGACGGATCATGCAACTGGACATGAGGGCAGTATTACAGGCGTAAACTGCACCTTTCGGAATCCAAGAGAATTATAATGCATTGAATGAAATCTGCGAATTCTAAGATTACTTTCTTTCTTTGCTTTTTTCCTTTTCCCCTTACGGCTCTCCTACTTCGCGCATCAATGTATGTGCAATCAGGTCCCCGACTTTCATCGTCGACATTTCTATCGATATGGAGTTGTTTTGATTCACGTCTTAAAAAGATTTTCGTCGATTATGAAAGTTTAATGAAAGTTTAATGATATATTACAATATTACAATAGTACAAAAAACATGCACTTCCCGCAGAGGCTAGTCGAGGCGGGCAGTGTTTAATACGTATATTATAAAATAAAAAGATTTATAGAGCAAGAGATTAAAAATTCTAGACAAATACATTTAAGTTACGGCAAGAAAACAGAACAAGCTGGGGTCTTATAGTTGTGCTATGAAAGTAGACAAATCAATATAATCGTCATATTTTTCGCGTCTCTGGAGGAGGAAATCATGAATTTTACTCTTAAAATTGTATTTTGATAGCTGGCGCATTTCACAAGACAAGCTATTCCAGATTCTAAAACCATTTCTCGAAAATGCCCTTTTTTGTATATCTAATCTTGAACTTTCAACAAAATAGTCGGTCGCCTCTTGAAGATGATCTTGTCTTATGGGGATGAATATTAGTATGTTAGGTGACAAATTATTGGATATGTCATGCATCATGATGGCAACTGATTTAAAGTAAAGCATATCCAAAGGAAGAAAACGAGAAGAAACAGAAAACGGGATTGCATGAGATCGGTAGTCACCAAAGTACATTAAGCGAAGGGCTCGTTTCTGAAGGATTAGAATTTTATCTCTACGAATTTTTGCAGCTTGACCCCACGCGACTATAACATACAACAAATAGGGTTGGATAAGTGACCTGTAAATGGGGTTTAGAGTACTAAGGGGTACAAAGTATCTTAATCTAGAGATAACGCCGATTGATTGATTTATTTTGGATGCAATATGAGCAATATGGTGACCCCATGAAAGAGTTTCATCAATAAGCACTCCTAAGTATTTAATAACTTCCTTACGTTCTAGGGAAATATAACTGTTAGTGTGATGGTCAAAGATTCTCAAATTTATTTGATGATTCAGTTTTTTCTGTCTGGGCCGAAAATTACAAAGTTAGATTTTTTATATTCAGTGATAACTTGTTAGCGATTAAACCAATCGTAGATGTTACAGAGTTCAGNTGGAACTCCTGATAAGATTACTTCCTCCTTGGATATACTTTTAACACCAATTTGTGTTGTTTGTTGTTGACCTACTAGGTAAAAGCAAACCACTTGTTCACTATTCCACGTATTCCGTAATGATTCAGCTTTTGCAATCATATTGAATGGTCGACCGTGTCGAAGGCCTTCCTCGAGTCAATGAATATACCACACGAATACATCTTTTTGTCCAATGATGTTATTTTCAATTTGACTGATTATACTCAGGATAGCATGTTCAGTAGATCGTTTCTCGCGGAAACCATCTTGTGAATCATTAAGTATATTACGTTTCTCAAGAAAGCATTTGAGACCATGTTACATCATTTTTTCGAAAATACGATTAAAAACAGACAGAAGAGATCTAGGTCTATAATTAGAAGGGACAGATTCATCATCATTTTTGTATATTGGAATAACCTTAGCAAGTTTTAGCTTAGGTGGATAAGTTCCACATTCGAGTGATTTATTTATAATTATAGACAAAGGTTGACTAATGACATGTTTAGCAGATCTTAAAATGCGAATAGGCAGAGAATATAATCCATGAGTTTTATTTTGAGGAACAGTCATTATTTCAAGTTCAACTTCAGAAGGAGACACAGGATTAAAGAAGAACGAACCAGAGGAATTTAACTTTGGAAGATATTCAGTAAATTGCTTTGATGGGTTTGGCATTTTAAAGGCTAAATTATATCCAACTAAAGAAAAATAAACTCTACTTTTTTCTACTATTTTTTAGTATAATATCAGGGAACTCAGAGGAATTATAGCATACTTGTTTGGTTCGCGGGCATTTTAAAGAGCTTATATCTTTTCGGACCTTGTTTTTCCGGCCTCGAAGACTATTGATACCCTCCCAGGTCTTTTTACTGTTTGTTAAATTTTCTTCAAAATATTTGTGGAAGTGCATTTTCTTGCTCATTCGTGTAAACATCAATACTTTGTTACGATAGATTTTGTAAGCATCAATGTCACCTGAACAATAAAGAGAGTTCTTTATTTTAAATGATTTTCTAATTCCCTTTGTTATCCAAGGTTTTGAGAGTCGCTTTATCTTTCGTTTTGAAATTGGCTTTAAAGGAGCGTGCTTATTGAGAAGATTGTTTATTTTGTTATAAAATGAGGAAAAAGACTTATTCACATCATTTTCTTTTGAGACTGCTTCAATCAGGTCAAACTGTGAGAGGTCCACCAAAAAATTTGTCTCAGAATAATTTGAATAATCACGAGCTAGCTTACTACGACAATTATGATTATTTTAGTGGAGAGAAGATAACAGAATTGTGAAAAGTCATCACTTAGATCCGAAATTATATTACCACTAGTTATGTTATCTTCTATATTACTCAGGAAGATATTATCAATAAGTGAGTATAAATTATTGTGTACTCTGGTTGGTTTGTCAATTGTTCGAGTTTTTAAAAAAATTTTGCAGAGAGAGTGTGAAATTTTGAGCATGTTTGCAGGAGTAAAAACGAAGAAGATTTAGATTAGTATCACCCATCAAGACAATTCTCTTCCCAGAGGGATTAAATCTTTCAATTATTTCCTCAAAATATTCCTGGAAACGCTCTGGTGAATTGTGCTGTCTATAAACAACGCCACAAATTATATTTGCATATTTGGGTCGATGCAACTCAATCCAGAGAGCCTGAAAAGCTTCATTTGAGCTTCTTTCAAGAACTGTGTATTTAAATTGCTCATCAATATACATACCAACACCTCCAGCAGAAAGAGGTGTTGGCACATACTCAAAGTCGTAATTAGGTATCAAGGGATTAAAGCCCAGACTACCATGCTCATCTTCAATTCGAGTTTCTGTGATTCCTATAATATCGAAATGAAAATCAAGTTCCTCCAATAAATGGGTTTGAAAGTTTTCTAGATTGCTTTTCTGCCTTTGAATATTAGCATGAAACAGTGAAAATCCAGAATTTGAATGAGACGAAATTTGCAGGTTTTCTTTCAATTGGCGGAAGCTATGCGGAGAATAATATTTGCAACTGGCAAGTGAAGTATGGGCATCGCGGCAAAGCCGGACCTTTTATCCAAACAACTATTTAGAGTAAATATGTCCAAATCAGGTTCTGTCCTCGTGTACCGGTTCACAAGAGCCAATACAAAAGACTAAACAATACACAATAGCTAACCAATAACTCCTAAACAAAGAAAGAACAGTGGTGATTCCCTTGTGAACCGGTACACCAGGACAGAACCCCAAATTATTAAAACTTGGTAGGCGTTCAAGATATTTCTTAGTAGGAAGGGTTGAATTAAGACTGTTATTAAACTGACCATGGGAAGAGATGACATCGCATAAATAGTAAGGAAGCTCGCGTAAGAGAGCTTTTCTTAAGTTTACCTTAGTTGATAATGCTGGTTCTTGACTTATGGTTTATTAACTTGATGATTGCTGGCGAGGCACAAGATTATCTAAATCCGTCGTACTCTTTATTGCGATGGGTCGAGATCCCTCGGTTTTCCTCAGCCATACTATCGAGTTGTGGTCCAGCAAAATGCATAATTGAACCTTTCCTTGAATTTTTTTGCATCTGACAGCAAACCTTGAAGACGTGGAGTTAAATGGGCGAAAATTCCAGCATGCTCCAAAGAGACATTTGCCGGAAGGCCAATGCTTGTTGGGTTGATTTTGCTAACCTCCTTTGGAGATACCATGACTTGCTCACGGGTGATCCTTCGGGTAAATTTACAAATTATAGGTTTGGGTCGGCATTCGATAGCATGACGCGGTGTAATCCGGTGAGATATATCAATGTCGTATAGTTTTACCTCCACTCCAATTCCATTAAAGATTCTTAAACAAAGCTGTGACGTATCAGAAGCGTTTTCATGCGGTCCCAGCTCAGGAACGCCTACAAGCTTGACATTTTATGAACAGTTCAGTACTCTTGAATCTGATCGATGCCCGTCGAAACTTTGGACACTTCAGTCGATAATTCCTTCAGCAATTTTTCAAGGGCAGATATTTTTTCCCAAGCTCGATCTCGGAATCGAATAAGATGGTCATATTCTTCGCTTAAGAAGTCCAGGGACTTCGACGCATCCGGATTGATAGTGACCCTTGAAGCATGGTCGCCAGTTTGATTCGACTTCGAGTCCTCCTGAACTTTCTTAAGCTCGGAAAAAACCTCCTCCACTTTTTCCTTCAGCTTGTCATTTTCAACTCTTAACGATTGCACGCTTTCCTTTACCAATTTAAACACTTATTACTCGCTTAACACAAAATATAAAAACAAATCTCAGAGCTCTCAAAATTCCATCCGCACGCTACTCAGACATGCGCAGTCAAACATTATCTTTTTCCTTAGCTTCCCACACCAAAACTGAGTGACTAGGATCTTTCACATTTCCAGAAAAATCAGACAAGCAGGCATACAAAATAGCTGCAAAAGAAAAACTTAAAATAATTTACCATGATCGGGACTAGGGAGATAAAGCTGGAACGACCGTTGTTTGACTGTTTGAGCCAGCTTAATAGGCATGCTTGGACTACAAGAGCTGCTTCGTCTTCCTCCCTCACTTTATCTTATGGAGAACAGAAAAGACGAGAAAGGGGAAAATTTTTGAAGTGTTCCTTTCTTTTGGCCATTTTCCTTTACAGGCTTGGCGCTCATAAACAGTCAGAAAGTATGGGGACAGAACAGGATTTCACAGCCAGTAAAGTGATCTTACACCCGTTCTACCACAAACCAATTGGCATGAGTCATGATATCGCTCTTCTCAAGTTGGACAGACCAGCTGTACTTACCAGGTGTGTTCGCCCTTTATGCATTGCACTCCCCCCAAAAAGACCCAAACTGTTTTTTCGTCCAGCAGCGTTTATGGACACGGCGTTGGTTTATGCTATTCTTTAAACAATTCCGATGGTTTTGACAAGGATTCAAGTTTCTTTCGCAAGTGGTGATTTTTTTTTTCATTCCTAATTAAACCTTACTGTTTGACTCAGCGTGAGATTGTAAGGGGAAATCGGATGCTAATCTCTAGAGGGCAAAAGGAATTCAGGGCACTAGGTTTGAAATCTTAAGTATTGTTTATGGCTTATTCTTGAGTTTCCTTTTTCAACACCTCCACTCTGCTACTCATGTGGATTTTTTTTTCGATTTCCCCCCGATGAACTCCTCCGCATTCATCGGTGCTTTGTGGACTTTGTTGACAGCCAATTCAACTGTTTTGACTGTTGTTGAGCAGGGATTTCTTATGAGTATGGAGCTGTATCTGTTGAAAATAAAAATTGTAGATGATATGCCATATCTCAGAATGGAGAAGTAACTTGTGAATAACTCAGCAAAATTCGGCCATGGATACAACCAAAGAAACAAGAAGAACAATTTTCGTATCTACCGGTGTAAGCAGTAAGCGAGTGGTTAACTCGCTCCCTCATTAAGGAATATGATTTTTTAATTTTGTTTTTCTCATCCATGTCTGTAGGCAGGTGAACCTAGTATGTCTTCCTCATAGTATCCCAGCTCCACCTGAAGGAACCAAATGCTGGATCACAGGGTGGGGAAAGACAGCCTCGGTCGGAGGCTCAAGTGGGAAGGTTCTGAAGCAGGCGACTGTACCGATAGTGGGACGGAACCGCTGTGAGTGGTCTTACCTGGGACAGATTCACGACTCAATGATTTGCGCCGGCTTGGACCGAGGTGGTGTTGACTCTTGTCAAGGGGATAGTGGAGGACCAATGGTGTGTGAGACTGGCGGAAAATTTTACCTTCAGGGCGTGACCAGTTGGGGAAAAGGGTGTGGCAGGCCGAATAAGTATGGGGTATATGCTAGGGTTACATACCTTTTGGAATGGCTCAAGAAAGAGATGGCTAGGAATTAGCTACACGAGTTTCCATGTTGAATGTGCCTTAAGCTCTTGGGAAAGCGTCTACAGTGAAACTACGAACTGACTACGAAAATAAAATGTGAAAAAAGGAAGCCTTGTGAATTAAATTAGTTTTGACTAATGTAAGATCTTTGCCACGAAGAGTTACTAAGCTCCGCCATCAGACCCAACATGGTCGCAGCCTATCCAACCTTAGTATCCATACTTCAACCTCTCCTCAGAGAGAGGCAAGGAGACTATCCCTTTATATCGATTTATTTCCTTCTGAGTTTTTTATTTTATTTTATATTTATTTGCCAAATGGACTTGAAAGTTTTTAAATTCGTTCACCGGTGCAATATTTCCTCCCATTTTCGGTTTGAACTTTTTCCAGTTCCAAGTCACAAAGCAAAAAGATTTGTTTTTGACGGTCCCGCTCTCGGTTCACGTAAAATTAGTGTCTTCGCGTTTTCGTTTTGAAGAGGAATAATAAGAAATAATGAACAAGGTTTTGAAGATCACGAGCAGAGCTGTTGCACTAGTCACAATGAAGGCAATAAGACCACTTTGGAACAAATGATTTAAAAATCATTTGTTCCAAAGTGGTCTTATTGCCGTCATTGTCCTAGATTTGGATGCACGACACCTTTGACCTTTGGCCGTGACCTTGTTTAACACAAACGTAGAAGGCCGCCCTTCTCTAGGATGAAAAGCTTAGGGCACGTGAGATAACTCTATTTCCCACCAAGAAGTGATAATTTATAGTGAAAAATGTAGAGTGAGAAGCCCCCAAGTATAATCTTACAGTGATATTGGTGTGAGGTCGAACTCTTATCCTCTGGTGACATATATCTCATTCTAACAGCGGTGAGAAATAGCAAAAGAGTGACTTGTTTTTGCTTTTTTTCCGAATTTTTCTCTTAATTGAGGGCGCGTTTCTGTTTATAGTTATGTGTGATGAAAGCGATAAGGTGTAAACAAAAATAATTCATTCAATTCGATTAATATCAGATCAGTATTTATTGGCATCTTCTTTAACTATTACATCCTTTGATATTAAGTTCTTGGGTTATACGAGCAATGAGACTATCAATTCTCAATATGGTTTTTTCTTTATTCAGCCCACGTTTTCAGTTTTGCCGCATTTCCTCTTGGAGCCAAGGCAGGAGGTACTTGACTTTAGCGTAAACACCAAACTTTCCAGCGGCGGCGCACCCATATCCCCAACTGGTAGCGCCTTGCAAGTAAAATCGGCCGTCACTCTCGCATACCATTGGTCCACCACTATCCCCCTGACAGGAATCAATGCCTCCTTCATCCACCCCTGCGCAGATCATTGAATCATGGATCTTATTTGGATATGCTTTCTCGCAGCGGGTGGGGCCCACAATTGGAACAGAAACCTGTTGAAGGTCTTCTGGTGTTGCACCCCCAGACGATAGTCTGCCCCAGCCTGTGATCCAACAGTGTTTTCCTTCTACGGGTGCTTCGATAGTCTCAGGAAGACAAGCAATATTCACGTAACTGAACAAGGAAAGGGAAAAACTTCCCGTTAACATTCAAATAAACTATCTACAAGTTATTCATGGAGGAAGGAAGGAAACGTGATTGTAACTATTACAAATTTGTTCAAAGTCTAATCAAATTTAGCATAACTCACCGCTCAGTTTAACGAGTAACATACGTTTCTTTTCACGTAAATTAATTCTTTAGGAAATGAACTTTCACGTGATGGTAATTGTTGTGAGTAATTCATAGCTGCTGGTTGAGATTTTTTGAAACTTTCCACATTGCTAAGATTATAGGTATATCCCATTATACAAAACGTTTGTGAGAGATTATAGAGCTGATACAGACCTGTTTAGCCGAGCTGGTTTGTCCAATTTTAAGAGCGCTATGTCATGGCTGTAACTTTTTGGTTTGTGATAGAGTGGATGTGTAATAACCTTGGTGACCTTAAAGTCCTGTTCAGTGTTAACCTCTTTTACACGACTATGTGCGCCAAGACTACAAAATAAACAAGCAAACAATGAACGATCCACCCTTAGCAATACATTAATCATAAAGTATAAAGAGAGGAGAAAAATATAATGATTATAGCGACCTCTTGGACTGATCGTTGAGATTATTTTGTAGTATTTTCCTAAAAGAAGAAAGAAAACTCATGACAGAAAGGTGGCTCTCTAGTGTTCAGAAGTCTGTGACACTAAATTAACTTTTGAAGTTCTACTGCACAGTTAGATAGCATTGCTCCTTAAAACGAAAATGGCCGTGACTCCATGTATTAGGAAGTGTACAAGGGGTAACTTTCATTGTACACTACAAAGATTAAGAAAAATTGCTCAATTGTATCACTGTTTGCCGCTCAAACTTCCTTTTCCGGACAATTATAGATGTTTACTTTGCTTTTCAAAATCACGAGAGCTCTGAGGTTGACAGCTTCAAACAGGTATCGTAATATTCGCCCAAATCAGAGACAAAAATGAAGGATCAAAGTCCTCCAATCACGTCTCAGGAAGGTTTTCAACACTTTGAAACGGTGCATTTGTCCCCTAATAGTTTCGAAAAATGATCGACAGTTCATTTAAGAAATCAACAACTTAATGTTCGCATGTCGTTAAAAAGCGCGGCAAAGTGAATCGACTTATCTAGTACCGGACAAAAACTTGACTGGGTGGCTTTCCACTGACGCAATGGGTTGCCGTAACGATCCAATATGGATTTACTAAAGTTCCTCCACAATACGGTTGGCCAAAGCTGGTTCGCAGCATCGCCTGCCACGGCCAGTCTCCATGCTTGGCAGCAGAGCCTCCGACGATCCTGACAGACGAACGTGTGCCACAACCACCTGAAAATATTGCACAAAACAGTTCCGTGATTCATTTTCCAACTCTCCCATCATGAGGATCAATTACTCATAAATCTGACGTCAGAACAAAGCAATATCCCCGAGTTTTAATACTAGTATACAACACCGTGCGTTTTTAACCAGGATAATCTCGCGATATTTTTACTGACCTTTAGGGGGAGATATCGGCGGACCTGGTTTTGGTGGGGACGGGGGATTGATTCCACCTGAAACAAAGATGATGAATTACTGGGCACTAAGATGTGCTCCTGTTAGTATGAACTCTCTTGAACTCAAAGAGTATAAGCCTTTGACAACAGAGCGTTCGCTAAAGGTACAATCGAGAATTACCGGTGCTCAACTAAATTTTATCAAACCATGGTTGATTCTTTCAAAACGAGTTAGGTTGTCTTCCAGTACGGCTTTCGCAGGTATACAAAACAAATAAAGCCCTTGAGAGCTGAGTTCACCCATAACAATATCAACTCAATACCTCCTCCGCAACCAACTATTTTAATATTATCTAAAGCAATGTCGCCCTGCCAGCCTCCTCCACGGATTCCTTCAAAGATAACCTGCAATATAATATAAGAGAAACTATAAATTAGTGAAAATTAACCAAATAGATCGCAATGATCATTTAGCAATCTTCAGGGCAACTCAGCGCGATAGCCTCGCTTTCGCGTAGACAACTTTAAGAAACCGCCGTCCAACTAAACCGTGCAAGCGGATCTGGAATAATAATAATAATAATAATAATAATGGTTTATTAACAGATCCACTAGGTGGCTCTTCCCTGTTAAAATGCATCAATTATAATTAAAATGAATCAAATTAAGTTAGTCACAAATTGCGTAATACGCACTAAAAAGTAGAAGTGGATTGACAGAATAGAAATTACAGTAAAATTAACTAATCACTCTGTACTCTATTACATAAAAAATTCCTTGAAAGTCTTAAAAAGGTTCTGTAATCTTTACAGTTTCTAATAGGTTCTGGTAAATTGTTAAATAGCTTCGACGCGTTATCTTGGAAAGAGCTGTTTTCGGTCGGGACCACTAATCTAATTGAATTGCTTGAGCGCAGTTCCTTGCGGCATTCCTGTTTTATTATTTTAAGATAATCTGGCCAAGTCTCAGCATTATGCAAAGCTTTAAAGCATGGTTTCAGGAATAAGAGCTATTTAGTTCATTTGTTTTTCATTTTTTTGCTTATTCCTATGACTTTATAGAAATTAGATGTATTTAATATAACAGTATTTATTTCTCATAGCATCTGATTGTGAGTTATTGCAGGCTCACTCACTATTCGAGCTGTTTCTTCCACTCTGACATCCGCCTTTTTCCAGGCGTCACCTTGCGGACCAGTTTTCTCGAATGCTATTTTCCCGTTGACTTTCACATTCAGTTCTCCAATATGACGTCCTTTCATATGATAGTAAAACGAGATGCATGATCCTCTATTCCCCAGATTGGGCCTATACACTAATTTGGCAATGTCTCCTGGTTGGCGAGGTCTGGATGTCTCTATGTAGGCGTAATATCCTAAACAAAAACAAAGCACATCCTTGAGTTCTGCAGGTAACTGCATTTGCTTTCCCCCTCTCGACGTTCCTAAACTCTTCAAAGCCAAAACGAGCACCAAAAATCTTCTTACGAATGGAATTCACTTGGGAGTTTCACAGTGGAAAGAAAGGAGAAAAATGTTCGTTGTAGTAATCAGGTACCTGTATTATCCGCAGCTGGAAGCAAGAGGCGTGCGCTAAAAAGGCATGCTCCAACATTGATCCCTTTCAAACCAAGAAGGTTCACAAACCCATTTATAGCCCATTTGAGGGGGTAGCTGGCTATATTCAATGGCTTTTATGTGGTCTGGCTTTTCGATAGTTATCGGGTTTATTTTTTATTTCGAATCCTTTTTTTTCTCAAGTATTCTTATGAGTAGACACCAAGAACTATCTACTATTGGGTGATGTGGTGTTTAAAACTGAAGAGACCCAATGAGGACAAAATTGGGTCTCATTCCAACAACTATATATAATGGTTATAGGATGAGGAGGGAATGAAGCAAGTCTAATTCCATAAACACAAGGAGCTTTAAAAGTGGGAGTCCGTTTGGTCCGTTACGAGCACAATTACAGACATACTTGAACGGCATAAAGAACTGTTACCAGTTTATCAAAACAATATAAAAAGGTTTGAGGCACAAAGGACTGGTTATGTAGACGAGGACTAAGGCGAACCGCGCCGGTTTTACGCAAGTAGTGGGCCTTACGTATTCTCTGTAAGCGTCTTGTCTTTACTAAATAAACGACCTTCCACTGCTAACTTTCGGCCTTCTTGACGCTTTTCGCAAATAAAACCGTTCAGGTAAGAGATTTAGCGAAATTTAAGATAGCCTGGAACGCGGTTTTGTTAATCGACTGTTAAACTATCTTTAAACAACCGGCCCAAAGTATTTCTCAACAATTCTAAAATCTAGCTGCTGATCACAAATTACGTACGAGAATTTTGTTTCAATTCGACCTAATTTAGACCAGTTTTGTTTTCCATACCTTTTCCTCCGTATCCAATTGATGGTCCTGTTCCACCAGACGGCGTTGGAGTCCTCCGGCGATCCCAATTCATTTGGTCATTAGGAGATTTCATTTGTATGCCACCACAGAGATCTTTCTCAAAATTGCAAAAGAACCCTTGAGAAAACAAAACGCTTTTGTACTTAATTATTCAATAAGATAGTTTTTAGAAAACGTTTCTTCTATTTTGCAAGCAACAGGTCAAGCAATTAAAGAAGGACTGGTATAACCAGCAAGGGATCATAAAAAAAGATCACTCACTCACTGTTAATGATGTTTGAATCGCATAGATGTCCAACATTTTGGTTATTTTCCGCTTCTTCTCCCAAAACTCTCACTCTTTCTCTCTTAGGTACCTGTTGCTTACGAACTCAGTTTCATTATTAATCTCTAAAGAAATATTGACTACGAAATAGATTTTATAACTATGGCTTGATTGAATGTCGTAGTTGTAGCGTAAACATACTGCGTGCAACAATCTAAAGATTAAATGGTGATTATGAAGATTTATTTTCCAGCCTTACCAGCTCCGAAAGCCACGTTCACCAGAAATACAGCAAACAGCAACATGTCGGCAGCCTGCTCAGTGAACTGTGAACAATGAACAATTTTAATGATGTTTTATAGAGTTGTTATTAAAAGCTGACATTGTGGTCATCGCTCAAATTTGTTTTGGCAAAATGGAACACGCTATAACTGCTACAAACAAAAGCGTCAGGCACTTAACATCGAACAAAAACTCAAAAAGCAATGGGAAAAGGAATCTCTCAGAACGTTATCCAACCAACTTTAACTGTTGACTTTATTTCATGAAAAACTTTTCAGATGCATTTGATGCAAGAAGTGCTCTTTGTCGTTGTTGAATAAGATAAAGAAACTTCATTTATTCATCCAAACAGACTTTAATTAGTCGTTAATCGACAATAATGGCAAAACAATGGAACACCTGAACAGGTTGTACATCTAGTTTCAGTGAAACAAACGAGCATATTTGCTACCTCTTTTGTAAACGACAATTTCCTCAGAAGAACTTCATTGTTCAGATTTTCAACTTTGTAAACTTTCAGCTAAGACTCTGATGATTTAATGAGAAACCAAATAAAAATAATTTTGACACATCAAGTTAACTATACAGAGTAACTACTAGTTATTTACTGGAAAAAAAAACACTTAAATCTTCCTGATGTAAGGGGGAAAATATCAGTAAACCATAAGAATATGCGTAGTTTGGCTAATCAATCTATTCCGCGAAGGATTTGAGATATCTAGAGACACTTAAGCTACCAAGAGTTTTTCAAAAATTGTACATGACTGAATTACACACACCTGCCCACATAACTTTGTCAACAGAGTGTGTATTCACTAAACGGTTAGCTTGCAATAAAAGAAACTCAGTTTTGGATGTAGAAAATGAGAAAGTAAAATTTTAAATGCATTTGGTCCTGATCCCCAGAGGATGTTTTGAACCAACTTAATGGAATTTGAATTATGAAGCAATTTACAGCTAAGCGTCAGAATTTATGCGTGACTGCAAACGTTTTCCTTTACTTAACTTTGTGATGTTAGTGCTTGCTTTAGAACAAAGTCAAAGCCCGTCTCAGCCAATCAGATGCAAACGAAAAGCGAATCGTGAACCTGCTTTGAACTGTATGCTTTTTAAGTATATTCTCACAAGCTCCCTTGACATTTTTCTTTCATTTGAATGGTCGTTGATACCTAACCTTTTTGGTTTTACGAAACTTAATTGAAATGCCCTCCACAAAACAGAAACTTCATTGTGTTTCCATAGCAAATAATTTGATACAGGCAGAGTTCGTGACTGAACCACACGTGCATGAAAAAGAACTTATTGGCTGAATAATTTACTGTGGCTCTTCCGAAGTCCAAAAATTCTACATAATGATTAATAGTTTTGCAAATGCCCCGTCCTCTACAACTGAAATTTTCAATCAAAAAAGATAACACTTCGTACAACTTTTAGTCGAACTGACTATCCATTAGGAAACCATCATTATTGATATTATACACGACACATTTCATTGCATATGATGGAATGGAAAAGTTAAAGCATAAATTGCAATTTCGTGGAATTTTATCCATGTTCATATCATCTTTAAAATGCAGATCATTCGAGGTTACCAAGCTGGACACGTTCAACAATGTTTAAACTTGCCATAAGAAAGGAGGAGCCACAAGGAGAGTTTTTTTTTGTTTGTTTGTTTATTTCACAAGCGAAAAAAAGTGATATGCTATTTATCTAAACAACGAAATCCAAGATTCAAAGCGAAAACTGGCTCCATTCGTGTTCATGGATTGTTTTGACGAATCTTAAACAGTATTTAAATAATTTCATAATTTCATAATGCATTTCGTATAATGCACGATCCTTGCAGTAGATAGCGCTATTTAAGCAATAGCGAAAATCAGACCTGAAAAAAATCAAGCCTGTACGGGATTCGAACCACTGACCTCTGCGATACTAGTGCAGCGCTCTACCAATTGAGCTAACAAGCCAACTGGGAGCAGGCCGTTAAGTTGATTCGTAATAAACCCGTGAAAGTGATAAATCAGATACAATGAAATATATGAAGTTCATATATTTTGATTTTGATTTATTTTATATTTTGATTTATCTTCTTTTTTTTTCAGGTCTGATTTTCGCTATTGCTTAAATAGCGCTATCTACTGCGAGGATCGTGCATCATA